GTGTCGGCTGTAACCTGTTCAGATAGCTCTGGTTCATTGAAAGGGTGAAGGTCTGTCTATCTGATGGCCAAAGAGGAAGGGTGGCCTGAGAGGGGTACTGTTATTGTGTGGCTGGTGTCAGGGAGGCACTTGAGAAGGTGTAGGAGATGGAGTGTGTTTGGGATTGAACACCTACATCCTTAACCCACGTCAGAGCCCAGCCACCATAGGAGTGGGGTGGTGGGGGGAGGGTGGTTAGAAGAGGTTCTATCTTATCTCTGTTCATTTCTTCCTTTGCTAAAAGGTCTTTTCCTATTTTAAAAGTAGTAGGCAGTAAGTCTTTTAGGAATGCCTCATAGGAAAAAGAGAGAGACTTAACTGTATTTTCAAACTCTGAGACCCAGCTCCTGGCCAGGAGACACGCAAACTCTTTTAATATCCTTATTCTGGATCCACTTAAATAGAAACAGCCTGCAGTATTTTTAGCTGCTGTGTAATCAAAGTGAAAAAGAAGGGGGAAATATATATATTTTTCTTTCCCGGTTAGAGTATTTGCTCATTATCTTTTAACGTAGTCCCTTCTAAAAAAAGAGGAAACACCCAAGAATCCCCCTAGGCTCCTCCTCTGGTCTGGCCAGGATTTAAACCCAGGGAGGGAAGGCAGGAGAGAAGAGGACGAGGGACAGGCCAGCACCCACGTTTGCAGCACCCAGCTCTCCTACTGGAGACAGGAGGAGTGAGGAGGTCCACAGCCTCTGAGGTAAGAGCAACAGTTTCCAAGATTTTTATGTGCAAGGGAAAAGGGTGGTCAGATGGGGATGGTTGAAGGCCGAGGCACAGGGTATAGCACCTGAAGTTAGCAGTGTAGTCTCTTACTACCTCCAGAAGGAGTTAAAATTGAACTATGACATATTTTTCCGGACCTATGTATTTTGTCTTTAGGGTTATCCTCTGTTCCCCAGCACGGCTAAGCATTGCCATTAGTCTTCTTACCTGGACAAATGCAATCCATTGTACCAGTTTCTCCCCAGAGCGACTACATTTTTATATGAATGTTTCTTTGAAGTCTAGCAAGTCCTTCTCATCCATTCTCTTTGTTGACTTCCTTATAATGTCAAAGGCCCTTTTTTTTTTTTTAAAAAAAAAGTCTTATCTATTTTATCTTCCTGTTCTTTGAAATCCTGAAACAGAACTTTTAATTGTGATGATACAACTGTTTTACTGTCCCCTTTTTCTGGATGTCGTGTGTACCAGTTAAGATAATGCTCGCAAACTCACTTGAAGATCTTTGAAGTTTGCCCAAACATTTAATTTTACAGGTTTTAATGATTACTTGTAAGAGAACAACTTCTTTTCCCCAATTTTCCATGCCATCATGCCCTCACAATGCCTCAAAGCAAACATTTCAGAACCTCTCAAGAAATGATGCGGTAGACCAGTTTTTGGAAGACTTTTTGTGTATTTATTAATTTTTGTGGTTGAGAGAGATGGGGGAAGTAGGGAGAAAGAATGAGTGAGAATAAGCAAAGTTTTACTTAAAAGTATTAAACTCGAGTTGGTTATATAAGCATTAAAACAAGAATAAGTCCCAACAAGATAACAAACTACCCACATCTGGACGTAGGTTAGCCACAGTGCCCAGAATTCTCTGGGCTCTTGGAGAAGCCACACTATCACCAAGGTATTGGGTGAGACCTGCTCACCACATATTGGCAGGAGCTGTGTGGAGGGAATCAGTGCCTTTTGGCATTTGGACGTTTGCTGCAAACTTAGGGTCAAGGTGACAGTGTCAAGATGAGGGATTCAGGAAGAAATGAAACATCAGCTTCATTTTTCCCAGAGGAGTGAAAAAAACCCAAACACCTGACCTTCTTTTATATAACTTTGTTGGCAAGTTTGTGGGCTGCAGCTGACTCCTGAAGGAGGGAAAATAGGATGGATGATTTCAGTCTGTGGCTTCCAGCTTCCATGCCAGTGCTGTTCTGTGGTTTGAAGTATAAAGTGGACTGAGGTCTGCTTCTGAGAAAGTGCCTGAGGAGCGTGTCCAGGCCCACTGGAAACTCTTGCCCATCCACCGCTTATTCCAGAGCCTCAGCTCCTAGGGGTCTGGACACAGACATGAGATCATGGTTTAGGTTCTGTAGCGGCATTTGGAGCCACCAGTCTGTGAGCCCAGGAGGCTGAGACCTTAGGCTGGATCCCTGGCTAGACAGGATGGACTTGCTGTGAATGCCACCCAGCTACCTCCCGAGTACGACCCAGCGAGCATGATGGAACAGTGCAAGTCCTGGGCAATCAGCAAAGCCACTCTCTCTTTGATCAAAGGCAGGAACTTTGGTCACCTCAGTATGTGGAAAACTGGGTATTAAACTAAAGAAAGGAACTATAGGTTTTCTTTTTTCTTTTTGGAGAGGTTTTTGCTATAGGGTGCGTGTGCTCGCCAGAAAGAGAGAGAGAAACAGAAAGCAAGAAATCACCCCCCAGGAGAGATGGCCATGCTGCAATCCCTTCTCCTCCATTCTCCTCTTGGAATCTTGGGCACGCACACACACGCACCCAGTGTGAGTTTAAGCCACCAGGTCCGAGACTTGAACCATGGTCGACTGGATGGGAGTCCAGCGACATAGTCATTATGCCAACTGGTCCCATAGGTTTTCATAATGCATATATCTTCATCATCATTCAGCTGAGGCAGACTTTACTGCCAGATATCCTCACACCTGGTGGGGAAGAGGGTTAATTGTACATAAAGTAATACTTTGTCATTCTGGGGTTTGGGTGTTTGGTTGGACGTGGAGAGGGAAGGTGCCTGGATTTAGTCCTGTATCCATCTTATCATCTCATTTTGCATGAACCTGGTCTCATTAAAGCTAGAGGAAAGTCTTTCTGAGAAAGTGATTAACCCCATGGAGTAAATGCACAACTTTGCCTGATCTTCAGGAAGAGCTTTCCAAGGATTTAGCCCAGAGCCTGGCAGTAATAAATGCTTAGAAATAGTGACCACCACTATCCTCACTTATCTGAACCTTTGTGGGGTGCATGAAGATTTGGTTGACAAAACAGAACAAAAATTGCCTGTGGTCATCCCTGAAAAAGCTATTGAGTGCCGAGGGATGTCATTCTTTATCTTTTATAGCTTGAGGGTAGGGGAGGATGGACTGACTTGATGGACAGTGATTTGCAGGAAAAGGGTTACTGCATGGTGGGGTGTGTGTCCACTAGGACGTCCTAGGGAATGCCTGGGTATGTCTCACCAAACCAGGAGACTGGAGGGCAGAGTGATGCTTGAAGCAGGACCATAGTCAGCCTTCTCACATTCAACCTCATTTTCTTTTTTGTTTTTGCCGTAGGATGTGCAAACTCACTGGAGAGAGACAGAGAGAGGGACAGTGAAGTCACTCCCCCCCCCCGGGGGGGCAATCCTACAATCCTTTCTCCTCCATTCTTCTCTTAGGAAATTTTGTCAGACATTAACAGGCACCTGGCATGATTTTCAAGCTGCATGGTCCAGGACTTGAACTGTAGTTGACTGTATGGGACTCCAGCACCTTAATCACCATGCCACCAATCATCAGATTGCCCCCCGATCCATCTGATTTTCATTCTCACCCTTAATGACTTCCCATGTCCTGAATGGAGAGCCTGTGCAGAGAGTTCAATAGAGACTAGAAACAAAAATGTTCTCATGGACTTGGTTCAGCTGTTGCTCGACAAGAAGATGTAGCATTGCCTTGTCACTGCAGGCTTCCATGTGCTGAGGGAGAGAGACACAGACGGGACACCCTGCCTAGGCCTCCAGTCCAAGATGAGTTAAGCGGGGGTAGATTTCTCAATCGCCTGAGCACTTACTCTTGGCCAAGTCCTTGGATAGGAAGACCCCTGAGTCACCCAGGGCCCAGGTTGTAAATTGTTGGTAAAACATACCCAAGAGAGTTAAGGAAATTAGTGATAAGGTTGCCCGTGACATTCGTGACACTGGTGCATCCGTAGCCACCTATCCCCCTCATTTTTCTTTGCAGTTCAGCGATGTTCACCCTGTCATTTGGGGACAGACTATCTTAAGTGACCACACTGGAAATCCATGATGTATGGTTTTTCCAGAACCCAAAGCAGTGCTCTCATTTGCCTGTGGTTAGCTGAAAGGCAGGATGAGGTAACACAGAGACCAGAGAAAGCCCTGGCTGTAAGTAGTAAGAGCTGTAACTGTGGCTGGAAATTGGCTACTGTTGCCTTTGTTGTAAGGAAGTTTTTTTTTTTTTCTCCCCGACCTGCAATATGTGTCCTTCTTTGGAGAAAATGAGGTGACACAGAGACCCACCAACCTTAGTGGCAGAAAGGACCATTGGGATTCAGAGTCCACCCCCTGCAGATGGAGTCTTGGTACTCTTTCCTGCTTCTCATGGGAAGTGATTGGGCCTTAATCTCCCTTGGAGGGAAACACAAATCAATCATGCCAAGGGCTCCTCCTTGACACTGTTCAGAGGACGTTTAGGCATAGGATTTAGTTACCAACTTATTGGTGTTTAACTGAGCACCTAATATGCCTTGGGCTCCCTTTGTTTTCAGAAGAACCTCTTTTATAAAGGAAATACAGCAGGAAAGAGGACATCTGTTGTCGTTTTCACGTTTATAGTACATACAACAGAGAGAGGAAGAACATATGGAGAGACCAGATGTGTGATCCCAGTTCTTAGCTTTGTGTCCTTGGGCAAACTACTTAACCTCTCTGAGCAGCTATCACAAAAAATGATACTGATAGACTCCCAGGATTTTGAGGATCAAATGAGAATAATGTTTGTAAAGTATTTGTCAAACCATGCTCATCAGCTAGTAAACACACATACCTAAAATCCAGTGACTGCTATTATTTACATCTTGAAGTATTACTTGGCAGGACTGTGCTGTGAGGATAAGGAGAGGATCAACACAGTCATGGCCACGGCCATCCCTGGGCTTGTGGGAATCCAGGCTAGGAACAGGCGTGCTGAGACAGGCACCGTCAATATGCAGCTCAAATGAAAATGACCGGGGTAGATGTGGCCGCCAAGAGAGCAAAACATAAAGCCCTGGGACATCAGTGCATCGCCACAGGCAGACCCAGAGGCATCATCCCCCAGCTGAGGGCCAGCAGTGCAGCTCTCAAAAAGTCTTTCTTGGGACCAGCAGTTAGCGTAATGGCTATGTCGCTGGACTCCCATGTAATCAACCACAGTTTGTGTCCCGGACCCGGTGGCTTAAAAAAAAAAACTCACGCCAGGCGCGTGTGCATGCGTGCCCAAGACCCCAAGAGGAGAATGGAGGAGAAGGGATTGCGGTGTGGCCATCCCCCCTGGGGAGTGATTTGTCGCTTTCTGTCTCTCTGTCTCTCTCTGTCTGTCTGGCGAGCACATGTGCCTTATAGCAAAAAAATCCTCTCCAAAAAAAACCAAAAACAAACAAACAAACAAAAAGTCTTTCTTGACAAAACAATACGAGGCAGTGTTTATCCTCATCTTAGCATGGCTCTGCTTCCCATTGACCCACACCACCCAACCTGATCAGCCTCAATAAGATGATGCTTCATGCGGTCACCTGGCTTCCTGCATGCACATTTCCTACATAAATGCCCTTTTCCTCACACATTCCTAGAGCGTTTGTCCCACTTCCTGTAGGAAACTACCCCTCGATAGAGTACGCATCTGTATTTGACAATGTACCAGCCTGCATTTTTCCTGGTGGAAATTGGTGCCCTTGTTGGCCCCGTGTGGGTCTCAGTCTGTGGTCTGCTTTGTGCAGGACGAGAGCTGCTGAAGTGATGAAGTCATCCTTCGTTAGGCCGTTCAGCAAACCCCATTCTGCTGCCACGTGTTGGAGCGAGAGCCAGCGGGCTTCTCTTGCTCTGTACACTTGACAGAGGGGTAGGTGGAGGATTTCCTGCTCTCATCTTTCGAGCAATCATCCTGCTCAGGAAAATCTGAGCTCAACATGAGGCTGTAACGTGCCAGCACATCTTGTTACAATTCAGGAGGACGAGTGACACGGAGGACTCCTACAAGAGCTCCTGGGGTTTCTCATATTCTAGGCTTTAAAAACAAGCACCGTGAGACTGGGCTCTGGGCAGCCTTGCTGTGGTTTATGGCAAGAGTCTGTGACTTTTTAAAAAATGATTTTCCAGAACCATCTGCACTCCATGTATGTCTTGGAGACTAGTGAGCCAGGGGTGGGTGTGGGGGTGGGATGGTAGGAATGGGCACAGAAATCTGCTAACTTTGGGCTCCTTTGTCAAAAATAGAAGATTTTGGACAGCAAAAATATGTGAGCTGCCAGGCACATAGTAGGTGCATTAAAGTCTAGTGAATGCTGTTGCCGGGGATGGCAGATGCGCACAGGATTTAATGGCTCCAGAACAGACACTATGTCCTTGGGTTTGAATCATTAGTCAAATAATCTGTGCTGCGTTGCTCGACGCCTCTGAGCCTCAGTTCCCATCTTGGGGGTGAAGTGGAGAATATACGTGTGACTGTCTTATCACTGGGTTGAACGTTTTAAGATGCGATTGTGAAATGTCACTATTTTTATCCTTCTCCTGCCTTTCAACTCACTCTACTGGATCTCCCACTTCTCCATCCTCTGACAAAACCTCACGCGGATTCCAGAGCATCACTGCTCGCTTTGGTATCAGGAGAGAATTGTTTGTGATGGCAAGTCCGTTTCAATATTGGAGCCTCAGCCTTTCATGCAGGCCACAGCCTTCCTTCGGGCCCAGCTCCAGCCTGATGCTGGAATCTGCAGGAGAGCAGAGAGAAGGGTCTGAGGTGGGCCTGCTGCATTCCTTCTTCCTCTTCTCCTCAACCAGCGTGGCTGCTTCTGTCTTCCGTAGGTTGCTGTCTGAGGGAGTGAAGGGATGAGGATGGAGGGGAAGGTATTTTACTTAGCTGGGGGCTGTTGTAGCTCTCTGTTATGGGGTTCCCTTGTTATGGCCACCTGCCCCCATGATGGCTCACCCCCCTTTATGGGAACCTCTTGAGGGCTCTTCAGAGATGCCCCATTTGACCTACTGGACACCTCCTCCTTTAGCTGCCCCTAGGGCAGCGTGCTCCTGCTGGGCTGCGGGGCTGTACTACCTCCTGGAGGCACTAATGGGCCTCATTCCTGTGGCCTGGCCAGGCCTTCCTGGACTCTGGGTGCAGCCTCTCCTCAATGGTCTCTCTCCTTGCTCTGCCTTGAAGCCTGTTCCAGCCCAGAAGTGGTATGCCAGGTTCTGTGATGCCGGACTCAAATGGAGAGGTCCTGGGTTTGCCTCCTGGACGCGCCCAGGGTATTCCTGTTATCTGAGCTGGTTGAGGCTGGATCAGAGTCAGGCAGTGGTCTCTGCCCACCATTTCTATTTATCCCAACCCCACTCCCCAATACCTTCAGTAGCACAGGTCTCTTTAAATGTGTGACATGACCCACATCCCAGATCCACAAGAAATGTCCAGATGTCTCTTGGCCATTCCATTACAGCTGCAAAGTAGATGCCAGTGTAGATGTGTAGCAAGATGGTAAGTCTAGTGAGATACAGTAAGTGCTCAGCAAAGGTGAGCTACTATTACCATCAATAATACACACTTTTGAGGATTGGAAGAGCCAAGAAGTGGTCAGTAAAGGAGTAGTGTGAAAAAAACTCTCTCTTAGTGCCATGCTATTTAGCTCACAGTGGTGGCACATCCCTTTGCCCAAATGAGAGGATGGCGTGGGGACACATAAATACTGAAATCACTTGTTATTTGTACCCAAATGTCACCTTGGGGCAGAGCAAGCACAGGATTGCAATCAGATGGATGTAGGTTTGCATCCTGCTTCACACTCACTAACCAACAACCCCTCAGGTCTGGTTTCTTCATTCTCTGATGACCTTAAGGATTAATTACGAGGGTGCCGCACCCGGCATTACCTGGCATTGCCTGGCATGTAGCAGCTACAGCTACTCAACACGTCACATTTTAACTCCCATTTACTCACAGGGACTTCAGTTGCAAAGACACATTCCAGTTGGGCTTGTAGTTGGGCTAATTTAATATTTAATATTATTGTAGTAGTATTACTGTTATTTTAACAGTTTATTTTATTCCATGAAAGAGAGAGAAAGACAGAGAGAGGTAGCAAAAGATAGATATCCCCAACCTGGCTCTCACACTGCAATCCACCGCACCCTCAGCCCGCCTGTTTCACGAGCACGTGCCTGGCACCTACAAGGAGACCTTGAATGCACACTGGACCTCCCATGTGGTCCAGCGTCACAGAGCATTGTGTCGTCACTGAAGGTTTGGTTTCACCGCTGCTGCTGGCCGCAACTGTTGTGGTTTTCAGTACTTTTTTTGCTGGGGCCCTTTACCATCTGCTTCCTGATGCTAATAAATGATGACTATTCAAAGTTAAAATTTTACACCACCAACAGTAGAATTCTGGTTAGTGGCTAGGGAAGTTTATTCCTTTCTTGACGACCATTGTCCTCCCAGAACAAATCTTGTGATGCCTTCTCTCAATTCTAACTGTGGAGTTGGAGAAGAAGCAGCATCAGGTGAGGGCGCAGGGAGGCTTCCATATGTAGTTCTGGTTCTTAATCTGGGCAAGGGTTTTATGACTGTTGCTTTTGCAACAATTCAGAAAAGCTGTTCCATGTATACTGTATGCTCCTTCTCATACAGTCGTCTTCCTTCACAGTAAAAAAAAAAGGATAGGTAGTAAAGAAAGTCACATTCCAGGAGTTGATTAAAACAAAACACATGTTAGAACATCTACTGAGCACTTATTTGGTGCTGAGCATGGTTCTAAGTGCTGCCTGTAGATAATGCAGGGGCGTGAGCTTTCTCATTCCCACTTTACAGATGAGGAGCCTAATGTCTTAGGACCTGTCTGACATGCCTTTCCCTCACACTGTGGCTGCCTCTCGCCACAGGTAGGGAGAGCCTGGACTTGAGTGGGACACAAACGTAGGAGAGGACTAGGCTTCCTGACTTCTTTAGACTCCGATTCAAGTAATTACAAGTCTTGAGTTGGCTAGAAAAACCTATTGTGAGGAGGCAGATTGGTTTCTAGACACTATGCAAACCCAACTGAGATGTGTCCCTGTGCCTGAGGTTTCTGGGACTAAATGGGAGTACAAGCCAGGGCTCTTGTGATCAAAGGACTTGCAGTCCCAGATGGGGACCAGGGCCACTAGGGGGGAGGTTCCTGCCCATCCACAGTAGTGAAGACCTATGTTTTCTCCTGGTGGCAGAGGAGGCATAAACCCAATAGCCTGCCCTGGCCTGAGTCTCCTGACTTGACTGGCAAACCAGACCACCCCCGCACTGATGGATCTGAGTCACAGGAACTGAATCCCTGAGTGTGCGACTCTGTGCTCCTGCCTCAGGAGGGCCCCGCTATGAGTCCACCCAGAGCCCTGTACTTAAGAGACTGTGGGAAGACACAGGCTAGCGGGGAGACATGCTGTATGCGAGAGTAACTAGAACACGAGATTGACAGGGAGGGCAGTACACTGCTCTGAATCCTTAACAGGAGGATGGCCAGTTTCCAGCTGGGGTAAGACAGGGAGACAGCAGAGAAGACTTCATGGAGACGTTATTTTTGTGAGAAATTCTTGTATCTGGTTGATTTGTAAGTGGGAGCCTCTGGCCTTGGGGTTCGTGACCTTGGGTCTGAGTCTAGGCTCTGCCTTTCCTGTCTGTGACACTTGACCTCTGGAGCCTCAGCTTCCTCATTGTCACAGAGCAACATGACACTGGGTTGACAAGCATGGATTCTAGTCAGATCATCTGGGCCTAAATCTTGACTCTTAGCTGTGCATCTATGGGCAAGTTATTAAGGTAGCAGTACCTCAGTTTTCCTATCTGTAAAATGAGGGTAATCATCATACTGTATTCCACAAAAGACCACTGCATGGCCTGAGTGTGACAGGTACTATTCTAAGTGTTTTTTCATGTATTAACCCACTCAGGATATTAGGGTTGTTGCAAAGATTAAATATTTAAGTCTGACCCACAGTAGGCCCTAGATACAGGGAGATGGTCTCCTTGTTATTATTAAAGTACAGATGAGCCTAGAATTAGAAGCAAAGAGAAGGGCAAAGAGTAAGCAAAACAGGAGGCCGCAATGTGCAATGTGCACCGTGTGAGGAAGGAAGAGAAAATAACGTAGTTTGGATCCTTAGTCTTAGGATGAATCCTTTCTGTTGGATTCCCAGCTTACTGTGGACTCTTAGGGTCCATTAAAAAGACCGTTTTCCCTTGACACATCTCCATGGCTTTCTTTTGCCCTTTTTCTAGATAACAGGCTTTCTGGAGATCTGTACCCTGTCCCTCCAAGGATGGATCTCCAGGGGAGAGCCTGCTTCCCCTTGGGGCTCCTGCTGGGCTCTCTGCTCCTGGTGACTTAAACTCCTGCCACTCCAGAGTCTCATGGGTGCAGCAACGCGGAGCAGCAGGTCACCGTCAGCCATACCTACAAGATTGATGTGCCCAAGTCTGCCCTGGTCCAGGTGGAGGCCGACCCTCAGCCCCTTAGTGATGACGGAGCTTCGCTCTTGGCCCTGGGGGAGGCCACGGAGGAGCAGAACATCATTTTCAGGCACAACATCCACCTTCAGACGCCACAGAAGGACTGCGAGTTGGCAGGCAGTGTCCAGGACCTCCTCGCCAGGGTGAGGAAGCTGGAGGAAGAGATGACGAACATGAAGGAGCAGTGCAATGTGCAGCGCTGCTGCCAAGGAGCCGCAGGTGAGTTCGCCACCTGGGATTCACTCGACAGGCATTAAATGGGCACCTACTATGTGCCAGGTGTTCTACCAGCCTCTTGAGCACTCCATGAATCTGGTGTATCCACCTTTCACTCTG